TTAATATAAAAAAATTATAAAGATTAATTAAAATTTGAATAATTTTTATTAGAAGTAATTATTGATTTTTATATTAATATATTAATCTTTTTGTATCAGTTCATATAAATAATTTTATATTTAAATAAAAATAATTTAATAAAATAATTAATTAAATAATTAAGTAATTTATTTTTTTTTCTTTTTATTAATATATATTTTTAATTTATTTAATAATTAAATATTTTTTAAATAATAATAATCAAATTCTTGATTAAATAATCTAACTTACTTTCTTCTTATTATATATTCTAACAATTAGACTCTTAAAATAATTCACATGATTTAATTCGACCAATCATGAATTTTCACGTGATTTTAAAATCACATGACACGATCCGGATCGAATCATATGTCACATGATATTATCTCGCCTTCCATTATAATATTGATGTCATTGAAGCCAGCATAATTCCAATTAAACAAAAGTGTGAGCATTTCATCATCAGTATATATCATCGGTTATAAAAAATTATTAAAAAAAAAGGACAAATACTTAATTTTTCCGATCATCAAGTCAAAAAATTTGCTCATTCTTATTGGATGTGATCAGGAACCGATATTTACGCGTTAGCGTTTACTGCCGGCTAATAAAGAAAAAGATAACAATTCAAATGAAATGGAAACCCAAGAAAATAAAGAAACAGATGTTAAAGCCTTATTTGGCACATTACGTGACTCGTTGGACAAGTATGTGAGTCTTTTTTGTTTTTTCTTAGAAATCATGGGACCTAGTCAAAATGGTCATTTTACATATGTTTTATCGAAAAAAATATGCAATGCTAATGTATGTTTGGTAAAGACTACTTACTTTATCTCTGGTAATTTTCGTATTATAGTATGATACACGTGAAGTTGTAACCAGACATTCAAAGTGAGAAAATTCTCAAAGATCCTCAAGTTTTGAACGCGCTATGATACATTCTGATGATTTCCGATATAAGTTTTCCGCATAATGTCTTAATTTTGATCTAGGGATATCACATTTCAAAGCAAAAAACTGATATACATCGGTCACAGGTAAATAAAAACATTCGTGCATTTTATCGAATGAAAAATAGAAATATTAACAATCAATTTTCTCAAAAAAGAATAATTAATAATCCACTTGATGCTATACTAAAAGAAGCAGGAAAAAAGCATAAAGAAATCATCCAAATATTCAAAGCCGTTGGTGTTCATTTGAGCGGTGTAAATTATTTTAGGTAAATTCTTTATTGTTCAATTATAATAGAACGATTTTCGCAGATTTTAAAAAAGATCCTCTTTTCCGAGATAAAGATATCTTCGAAACATATCCAGTGGGATCCAGGAATATACGGAAGCGATGGCATTTCTTCGATATTTGGAGCATGGAGATGTAATAAAAAAAGAAGAGATTGAAGCAAATTTTTTGGATGAATCTGGTAATAAGGTTTGTCGTTCGATTGATTTAATTTTTTTTTATTGCATATTTAAACTTCAATTTCACTTGTATTTTTTTTTGCCTTTTACAGTTTTTACAAATAACTGACTTGGACTACATTCTTGGAATTGCTGATCTAACCGGCGAGCTGATGCGATACGCGATAAATTCAGTCGTTAAAGGTGATCTTACACGACCACTAGAGATTTGTCATTTTCTAAGGAAACTGAAGGCTCGTAAGTAAAAGAAATATTATTAATTGATTTCACTTTTTTCGGGATTGATGTGTCCGCGATTTTCTGAAAGCTGGTATTTTGGAATTTTTTCAAAAAGAATTTGAATTACTAAATGCAAAACCGAATTCTTCTATCGGTAAAAAAATGGAAGAGATGAAATCGAACTTGCAAAAAGTTGAGCATGGTAAATCTTTGTAAATTATTTTTTTTTAAGTATTTTTATTTACGAGAAATTATTGATGCCTTTTGCATTGTTAATATGATGTTTTATTCAACAATGAAGTTTGTTACGCGTTGAATATTCATGGGTCAGGTATGTTGTGAACGCTTGCAATAGATTACCTTTTTTCTCTTTTCGTTTTTTCATCAAATTTTTAAATGTCTTGTTAATTTATATTCTTTCAGAGTATCCTAAAGATTTTTACGAGTTTATTGTGAGTGAACGTTCGCAGAATAGCGAATATTGATGAATTGGCAGAATTTTATACAATATTTGATTCCTTTTTCTTTGCAAAGAAAATCATGAAAGAAAGTGGTGTACTACCTCTAGAATTTATTGATTTTCTTGACAAAGTATATGATTAAGATGTAAAAGACAAGAAATAAAAAATCATTATTACTTTGAAATCTAATCTACAGTTTCTATTAAGTGTGCGTCAATTAAATTAATAAATGTCTTAAATTATTCGAAGTTACGTATTAGTTTATTATTACAGATTAAGGACCTCCGCCCTACATAAAACAGTTTTTTTTAGATATTATAAATTAAGTATTAAAGAAAATTATTTTTGAAAAGATGAAATCCTCATTCGCCGCCCATCGTTTGTTCCTCGCTCGCGAGTCCAATAGCGGTTAAAAACAAATAAGATAACACAAGTAAGGTAGTTCCCATCACATCAACGACGGCCGTTCTAATAGAACAATCATAAAAATTTTCATTGATTTCATAATAATAAAAATGAGAACATAAAATTTTACGGTTGCACTTACAAATAAGGTAAACAATAATTATCAGGATCGTATTTATGATGCCATAACCAAAGCGTTATCTTCTTTGCCATCAATAATGTACATGATACCTATCAATTTAATTAATAACACAAGTTAATACACACATGTCATTGTATTAAAGCGGAGTAACCAAATAATGAGGCCACTTACAGATGCTACCGATACAAATAAATACATGATACAAAGACTCCAGGTCAAGTGAACATGTCCGATATCAAACCACCAAGTAATCAACATAAAAAGAATTCCTATAGGGATATGGATGATGAACAAAATAATTTCGGATCTACGATAGTTCTCTTCTCCGCTACTGTGCAATCGAGTGGATATTCGAGAAGCGTAGATGGATCCCAGGTTTCCAGAAAGTGCAGTCAACACAGGTTGTAGCGACGCTAATCCCGAATATTTCTCGATATACTGTTCTAATATTAATCCCGCCATACTAATCAAACAACAATCAATTTTTTATTTCTAATTATTTCAACGAAAAATATCATCTAATTTTATAATGTACCTTGAGATAATCATCGCCAAAAATAAGGGCGACCACCCACTAGTTAATAAATCTCGTACGTATTCATTTGACCAGACAAGACGTACCCAATATGGTATAGAAATAGCTAAAAGGATGAACAATACAGTGCTGGTAAAAGTTTCTACAAAATTCATTCCAAGAAATTAGCAAACAATTTTTCTTATTAAAATAACGATGAATACAGTCTTTTTTAATAAATACCCATATATTGCAGCAAAAATTCACCGCACACCGATAATATTATTAAAGTTAACAAATCACCAAGCGAAGATGCCATTGGACACGCAATATTATCTTTTTTTTTGGGAAAAGAATAAAAATCAGCGGAAAATTATTTTTAAAAAAGAAATACAGAAATTTAATTTACTCACCTGGATTAATTCTAAATCTTCGACATAAAATTACTAGCATACACATGAAAGTTCCCATTATTATGCTGCTCAGCGCAGAACATAGCATAGCTGCTACGACTACCAGCATGCTTTCATAGAACGAATTTTCATGCGGTTTAAATACAAGTCCTTCAGCAAATGAGAATAATCCAGCAACTGCACCAACTATTAGTGCTTGCACTTGTAAAAGAGATAAATTTCCCCATACGAGTGCATCACGAACGGATGGTTTATCTAACTCACCCAGATTAGCCTTAATTGATTGGAAAGAATATTAGTGCTAATGTATAGAGTAATCCTTTACAATATAGAAGAATTTTCATCGGATTATAGTAGTATGTGTAAATATAATAAACCTACCGAAGTTGACATGCGTGATGCTAAATTCATTTCGAGATTTCCTTTTAAATTTAATAAGACCGGAACCAATATGAATAATTCTTTGACATGAGTGAATGAATTCCAATGCTAATATCACAATGTATAGTTATCAATAATGAATGACGCCAACAAGTAAAGTTTATAATAAATAAATATAACGTTAATTTTCAATCGATTCACATTTAAACACGCAATCAAAGAGAGAAAGAACATATCACCTTACTTTAACGATATCTAACAATGATCCAGTTATTATTGACCAAATTATTGCGACTAATAATGGTGGTATCGCCTGAATTAGTTTATTGTATAGATAAAATATTACGCGTTAAATTAAAGTATGTCAATTTAACAAATAACGTATTTCACGCTAAAACTCTGCCAACCAACACCAACAAACACACACCTCAAAAGCTAAACTTCGTTCTGGTTGTTCGTCATCGGCAGATCCACCCTCACTTGTATCATGTATAGTTGATAATAAGGTCTTTCGTTGTTTTTTCAATTTTTTATTTTCATTATTATCATCGTCTTCGGAAGACCAATTAGTTTCGTCCTCCTCTTCTAACCCTTCCTTTGTTCCCAATTCAAAATATTCACTTCTTTGCATTGTTCTTGGTCCTCCTCCTAACTTTCCTTTGATAGAACTAACAAATCCTCCATGATTTAATCCCGACATGATTGCTTTTTTGTGATGTTCATCGGAAAGTGTGGACACACGCAAGGGATCACTGTAATTCTGAGCCAGCTCTACTTTATTCTTAGTATGATATTTTATTATACAATGATATTTGTCGAATGTTATTTGGAAATCGTGTTCAGCTATTTTTCCAGCGCTGAAATCACGCTATAATATAGTAAAAAAAAAAGAGCGAGAGGATATGTTGTTTTGCGGAGGGATATGTGAGAGATGGGAGTTCGCGACTAAGAAAATATCGCTATTTAACTTAAAAACCTCATTAGGAAAGAATTAATTTAAAGAAGATTTGAATTATGCAATCATCGCGATCATAAAGATAGTGTAACGTTGGAGATGCGTTCAACTAATAAAATCAAATCTATATATCATAGATGTATAAGCATATAAAAAAAATGGCCGAGATATTACATTTATCTTTTTATGTATAAATTCATTTACAAGTGTAACATAAACAAACTTTACGTTATTTTACATTTCATCCAGGTTTGGAGTAGGCCAGATCTAAAAAATAAAAATTATTCACGGTGTATTTTGTAATTGACCAATAAAACAAGTTTCACGTGATAAAAAATCACATGATACGTTTCAATTTTGACCTGATTTAAAATTCGATTTATTAAAGGCTCTAATAGTCTTTTAAATATTATGCAATTTATTGGCGAGTTAAGATTTCCTAGTTTTATTAGCGAGATACATAAACAAGATTTTGCAAATTTTCACGTATAAAAGTAATACCATGTCTTCACACGCTTCTTCACCTTCATCCCCAGTTTCTACATCCTCTACTTTGACAGAAGAAAGGTCAACTCGCACGATGGCAGACGCTATTAAAAACTATAGCACAGATGAACTTATCGATTATTTACGAAAAAGGGACTTGAAACTCGATGACGATGATTTTAAAGTTCTTCGTAAACAAAAGGTTACAGGCTTAACTTTCTCAAATTAACGGAAGCAAAAGATTCGTAGTTTCTCGTCATATAAAACTCTGGATGAGCTAAAAGATGTTCTCCGTAAATATAAAGTCAACGGTGAGGATATTACGAGTATAAAACAATTCAACCCCGACTTTTTCTTGGGCATTTTTCTTCTGATCGTGATTCTGGAATCACGGAAATTTCTTGGCAAAAGTGATCGGCGTGACAATTTGTCACGCATACATAGATTATATGTTAACGTTTTTTCCATTGTACAGTGTTCGAGGAAATCGATGAGAATGAAGCGTTTAAACATTGCGTGGACGATATCATACTTATTCTGACAAATATTGAAACGATGACTGATGCCAACGAAGCAACTCGCTGTGAATTTATTTCATCCATCCTACACGCATCGCTTGCCATTGTTCGAAGGCTCACTAAGGAAGAAAAACTCTTTATATCATTGCAAAAAGATGTCTCTGGTGAAGAAGCATCTGGGCGAGTTGATTACGCAATCAAAGGAAAGGAAGATCTCATGTGTATCGCAGAAGGAAAACCTCGTAACATCAAAATCGGATATTTACAAGTATGACCATATATTTCACATAACTAATCATTCTACATCACCTCGTGTTTATTATTAGTCTTTGAACATAATACACTTAACTAGTTTCTATATGGTTATTTTCGATAGAACATCATTCAACTCGAAAGTGCGAACCACACGAATAAGAAAAAAAGGACGGCTGAACAAGCATTTGGGAATAACGATTACGACTACCTCTACGGAATTGTATCCACGGGTATGGATTGGCATTTTCTTGTTTTCACCACTGATGGGCTTTATTGTACCAGCGAAAGTGAATACCAAATCAATCTCTCAAAGACGGCAATCAAAGAAAATCTGGACAACTCCGAAGTAACATAAAAAGGATAATCGGGATCATTGTTGGGTTGTTAAAGGATCGGGTAACAGTCGATAACTCCTCAGCCATTAAGAGGGCCAGGATCAAAAAAATAGTGGGTAGATAGCTTTCCCGTTTCATGTATTTAGACATGTATTTTACGTCTCGTTTACGTTTATTCATAATAAAGAAATCAGATCAAAAAGGTCATTTTTCACGCGTTACGCATATCGCTGATCCGGAATTGTAAATAATGAGTACATTCTGTTTCCGGAATCATTATAATTCCGAAATGAAGACCGTTAAATAGATGAAGACGACAAGGGGAGTAAAATCCACTACTAGAAATTGATAAAATTTATAAGCAATTACAATAATACTACTATTGGCCAAAAATATTCAAGAATATGGTCCGGTACAAAAAGATTGGTACATCAAATAAATATTAGTAAATTATTTTTTCAAAATAAAATTTTTAATTCTGTCTTTTATTTAAATGTAAAAATTTTTATTATATATCTTTTATAAAAAATTTTTTACTGATAATAACTTTTTTCAATTATTATTTCTTAAATTTTACTATATAAAATTTGATTAAAATTAATATAAA